ACTAGAGTAATCATGTTAGAATTGTTTAACCTTTTTAACTTTCATTTATCTTTTTTTTCCTCAGAAATGGTTCTAAATGTGCAAAATATTAACTGATACATGTATAACATTCACTCAATAACCTGTCGTATTTTCTTGCACAAAGGAAATGGCATTTGGAAAATAGTGATAAAGAGGTCGAGAGTTCGAATCTCAGCATCAACTGACCTCAGTCGATAAAACGAAAATAGGTAAAATCTGTTCCTTCGCCATGTGTTCGGCGATTTGAAATGAAAGTTGCGAGTCCTTCGGATGAAACCTTAAAAACTGAGATCCCGTGTAAGGACAGACGTTGGCACGAAAGAGATCCCTCACTGCTCCATGGCCCTGTGTGGTGAATACGGAATTATTTTTTCCGGATTGGTTCGAATTTTATTATAGTTCTTCCGTTGTTCACATGTGCTTAAGATATAGCTGCAGTATTTAATTTTTGGTGTATTTTGACGCACTATGAAGTAAGTATTTAGATTAGCATTATAGGAAGCTTTAATTATCTTCACATTGTCAATTTTTAACCTTGCAATTTATTGTCATGTATTCTTAAGTCAGTTTATTTCTGCAAGTTTTCGTCTATGCATCAATTTGGCATAAAGTAAAACATAGTATATTTTCGGTTGCTGTCAATTATGTCATATCATCAGCATATTACACAATTTAATATCATTTTATCTGTTGAAAGCATACTGTAGTTATGAATCTTTAGAGTTTATACCTGTCATTTACTGTTTAAGCATAAAACCCTTCCTTTTCTTAATTTTCTATATTTGGCATGGTATGAATTATGGATTGGATTATTATGTAATTCACCTTAAAATTATGTAATATTAACTAGTTTCTCTTTGTAACTCTTTGATTGTAATTTTACAGTTTTCACCCTCACTCGAGGAGCAAATAAATAACTTTGTCAAGCAGAACTTTGTTTATGGCACAGTGAAAATTCATAAAAAGTCACATAGGAGTCACCAGGATGAGTTTGTCTGCAGACCCTTTAAGAAGAAGCGAACGTTTCAGGACGCTGACGGTACCGGCTCAGGAGGAGTACGAAGTAAGGGTAGAGACTTTCAACGCAAATTGAGCAACATTAGGAATGAATGGAGGGAATGTTTTGATGAAATTGAAAGATCAAACAGTTAAGTTAGGAACCCTCCAATCAGTTGACGAGCTTCTGAGGAAAGGCTTCGAGGCTTATGAGAAAGAGTCAAACAATTTCTGTGAATATTTAAGAGCTACTCGATCAGAGGAAAGTGCAAATGAACTTGCATCACATTTGTTGATTAAAGAGACCTTACTTGCAAAGGTGAATGTGGCTAGAAGCAGGATTGAGCGGCTGATAAATCAATCAAGTATCCCTAAGGAAGAAGACCACGTGTCACAAAGGTCGTTTAGAGCACTTACTCAGCGGACGATTTCTTCAAGTAAGACTTCCAACCGTTCTATGGAGTCCATTCTTCGACAGAAGGAGGCAAAATTACAAGCTCATCGCACCATGCTGAAACATCTAGATGAGGAATTAGCACTTGAAGCTCAATTGAAACGCTTCAGGGCACAGCGAGAGATGAAGATGGTTGAAAGTGAACTAAGTGTCCTAAAAGATGAACCACGCTTACGAGAGCTTGCACCAAGTCTCTCAAGCATGTCAAAGACTGAAGAATATTTAGAACTTCTCCTAAGGTACAAAGAGGAACGCAAGAAGCATGAAGATGTAGGACAAGTCTCCAAGACTAACAGTCCGAAAACTGATGATTCACAGAAAGAGGCTATAGTTATGTCCACACCAGCAGTCTTTCTCTCCCCCTTCTAATGACAATGTCCCCAGGACACAGTTGAACCCTGAAGCTCAACCGTTTGAACCAGCAGGGAATGGACTATCAATGATCGACGTGTCCACTAAACACCTAGTTAAAAGAGACTTAATACTATCAAGACTATCAAAATTCGACGATAATCCAATGATTTATTTCCTGGAAGATGGGATTTAACGGCATTATGGAAGAGCTTGGGGCTACAGACACAGAAAGACTGGAGCTATTGTGTGAGGAACTTGGACCGGAATCTTCGAGGCAAGCTAAGACGGTAAGAGCCTGCAATGCTAACAGTCCAAGTATAGCAATCAAGAAAATCTGGGAAAGACTAGAAAGGCGCTTTGGAGCTGCGGAGCAGATTGAAATCTACATTCTGAAGAAAATAGAGGACTTTCCAGAAATTACCTCAGATCACTTTCATCTTCTTTACGATTTAGAAGATTTTGCATCTGAAATCGCATCTTTAAAGAGCCAACCTCAGTTTGGAGTGTTGTTCAGTTACTTTGACTCTAAGAAAGTATGAATGAACTTGTTGAAAAACTTCCATGGAACCTGAAGGACAAGTGGGCTTCAAAGGCTGGCTACAAAATACTAGCACAAGCGAAGTGCCGGAGTGACTTATCCACCTTTTTCAGTTTTCCTCAAGTTTCTGGAAAGTATGGCAGAAATGAAGAATGATCCCGCATTTCAGTTCGAGAAGAAAGGCAGCAGGAAACAGTCAAACTTCCAAACTCAGCAGCCTAGACAAGCTTCTGGCAAGTTTTCTGTGAACAAGACTTTCCCAGTGACTAAAGTACAAGCCAGAAAGACAGAGGCCATTTCTACCAATGTGTCAGACATGTGTCCACTACACAAGAACAGTCAACATTTCCTGAACAACTGTGTACCTTTTCGCCAAAAGCCTATTGGAGAACGTAAGAAAATAATCTTGACAAATGGTATATGCTTCAAATGTTGCAGCGGCAAGAAGCATAGGGCCAAGAACTGTAAGGCAGATGTTAAGTGCAGTGTGTGTCAAGCATCATCAAATCCCACAGCCCTTCTTGTTGAATCAACAGAGGCACAAGATTCTGGACATTATGCTGCGAAGGACAAAAGGGGGAATCCTTATGAAGGGGAGAACATACCCACTGTCTCTTCAGCCTGCACGAAGGTGCATGGAATGAGTAAGTCTTGTGCGAAGATAGTACCTGTTCGAGTTAGCAAAATTGCTAATCCAAGGAAGTCGATGGTAGTTTATGCGATTATCGATGACCAGAGCAACTGGTCATTGGCCACTTCCTCAGTCTGCAACTACTTCAAGGATGATGGTGGTGATGTCCCTTATACACTTGTGTCCTGTACTGGAACAGTTTCGGCAACTGGAAGATTCGGTACTGGTTACACAGTTGAATCCCTAGATGGCACTTGTCAGCTGAAGTTTCCAGAATTGATAGAGTGTAACGACTTACCGAGTAATAGAGATGAAATTCCATCCTGCCAGGTTGCCACGCAGTATCCGCACCTGAAGTGCATTGCATCTGAAGTCCCCCCACTTATTGAAACGGCAAACATAGAACTTTTAATAGGTAGAGACCTTACGAGTGCTCAATAGTTCATGAGCAGATAGTTGGGGAGGAAGATGAGCCGTTTGCACAGAGGCTTGCCTTAGGATGGGTCATTGTTGGCCAAGTTTGTTTTGGTGGAGCCCACCTGCCAGAAGTCAGGACCTTCAAAACATTTGCATAGAGGAGTGGTAGGCCCTCAACCTTTGAACCATGTAACAATGAGTTGTTAATTAATGATAGACTGTTCCAGAAAACCGAACATGATGAAAAGATACGACTGTCGATAGAAGATAGAGAATTCCTTCAGTTAATGGACACATCATTCGAGAGGGATAACAGTGGATACTGAGTAGCCCCCCTTCCTTTTAAGCAGAATCGTCCACGCCTACCTGACAACAAACTACAGGCATTGCAGCGTGCAAGGTCGTTTGACAAGAACCTACAACACAACCCTGAAAAGTTTGAGCATGTCAAGGAGTTTATGGTAAAGTTGTTCAATAGGGGCCATGCAGAGAGAGCACCTGTGATTGAAGATGACGTAGAACGATGGTATTTGCCAATATTTGGCGTCTATCATCCAAAGAAAATAGGATCTATAAGGGTTGTCTTTGACTCATCTGCACGCTACGAGGGAGTCTCCTTGAATGATTCCTTGATGAAAGGACCAGATCTTTCCAACAATTTACAAGGTGTGTTGATGAGATTTCGATTGGAACAGTATGCTGTGATGGCAGATGTGCAGCAGATGTCCCATAATTTCCGTGTGAAGAGAGACCACCGAGACTACCTTCATTTCTTTTGGCAAACTAACCATGACTTGAACGCTCCTTTAGAGGAATTTAAGATGACAGTACATGTATTTGGGAATAGTCCCAGTCCGTCAGTGGCAACATTTGGGTTAAGGAAGTCAGTTTCATCTGCGGACCTGGACATTTAATACTTTGTCTCTCATAATTTTTATGTTGATGACGGACTGATGAGCTTTAGTACTGTATCTGAAGCAGTAGACCTTTTTAAGCGCACTCAAGATGCTCTCTATCATGGAGGTTGCTTACGCTTACACCAGATTACCTCTAATTCGGTTGAGATTTTGCAACATTTCCAACCAGAGGACCTCAGCAAAGATCTCATTGGGCTCAACATAATGCAGGACGACTTACCGGAACAAAGGAGCTTGGGCATTGCGTCGAGTATTGAAATGGACAAGTTCATATTCAGAGTAAACAAGGAACCAAGGCCGTTCACACGACGAGGCGTCCTGTCGGTCATAAATAGCCTTTTTGACCCCATCGGATTTACAGCCCCGGTGACTGTGGTGGGGAAGATGCTTTTGCGGGATCTTATGACTTCAAAAATTGGCTGGGACGACCTACTCCCAAACACCTTTCAGATCCAATAGGAAGGATAGGTAGATTCACTTAATGCTCTTGAAGAGTGCATATACCACGTATGTATTGCCAACTTTCCACACAACAGGCATCACATTTGGAAGTGCACATTTTTACTGACGCGTCGAAGGAGGCAGTGGCCGCCGTGGCATACTTGAAAGTGTTCCACAAAGAACATGCGGAGATAGGATTTCTTCTTGGCAAGGCCAAAGTTGCCCCCACACATGGGCACGATCCCAAGGCTTGAACTATGTGCCTCAGTTCTGGCTGTTGAGATAGCAGAAACTATCAGAGAACAACTGCAAGTTTCCAAAGATGCCTTTACCTTCTACACAGATAGCCAAGTCGTTTTGGGATACATCTTCAATGACGCTGAGAGATTTCACGTGTATGTGTCGAATAGGCTGAGCAGAATACGGTCATTCTGTGGTCCAGAATGCTGGAGATACGTGATGTCTGAACAGAACCCAGCTGAAGTTGCGACTCGTTGTTGCAGTACCAAAGAACTCCCTTTGAGCAGCTGGCTCTTAGGACCCGACTTCCTGAGAAATAGCGAACAACGTGCAGACCAACCTCCAACCTATCACCTTGTTGATCCCGAGACAGATGAGGAAATTCGTAAACAGGTGACTTGTTCAAAGACCACAATCATTTCTCAGGGATCAGATTCTTCTCAACCCAGAAGTATGTCTACATGGTGTGAACGCTTTGAAAAATTTTCTACATGGGCAAGTCTGGTTTGCGCTATTACGCGCCTTAAAGGACTTTTGTGTAGGACCAAATGTGACAAACCAAATGCAGTTGCCCTGAAAGAAGATGCTGAACATTTTATTATTAAGCAGGCTCAACATGACAGATATTCATCGGAGATCCTTGCAATCAAAGGAGGCAAACAGCCACCACGGAACAGCTCTTTGATTCCCCTTAACCCAGTGTTAGACCAAAATGGCATCCTGCGTGTGGGCGGTCGAGTCAAACATATGAAGATTTCTGACGTAACTACACAACCTATTATTATTCCCAAGGACAACCATGTTGCTACATTGTTAGTACGTCACTATCATGAAGAAGTTCATCATCAGGGGAGGCACATGACCTAAGGAGTCATTAGAAGCGCAGGTTTCTTGGTTGTTGGATTCCGCAGACTTGTAAATTCTCTGATTAGGTCATGCGTTTTGTGCAAGAAATTGCGTGGGAATCTCGGATGGACAAAAATGGCTGACCTTCCCCTAGAAAGAATTGAGCATGGCCCTCCATTTAGTTTCGTGGGGGTAGACACCTTTGGACCTTGGCCAGTCGTTATAAAGAAAACTACCAGAGGTGTAAGGACTACATCCAAGTATTGGGCCATTCTTTTCACCTGCCTAGTGTCGAGAGCAGTACACATAGAATTAGTTGGAGATATGAGTAGCGAAGCTTTCATCAACGCTCTGAGACGATTTATGGCGATTCGTGGCCCTGTACGCCAGTTTCGTTCAGATAGGGGTACAAATTTTATTGGGGCAATAAAGGAGCTAGGGATGAGTGCAGCCTTTGATGAAAGTGGGACAGTCCATGACTATCTAACAAAGTGTGGATCTACCTGGGTTTTCAACCCGGCCTATGCTCATTATTTTGGAGGCTCCTGGGAACGCCTGTCGTCGTATACTGGATGCTTTGCTGTTGGAGAACAGACCGAAGGACTTAAACTTTGATGTTCTAAATACCTTCATGAGTGAGGTGAGTGCTATCATGAATACTCGCTCTTTGTTACCCATTTCCAGTGCTCCCGAAGCTCCATCTATTCTCTCTCCGTCCATGATCCTTACACAGAAAGAACATAACTTCTCTACATCCATGAATGTTACAGGATTTGGAGATAAAGATGCCATGAGAAGTCAGTGGAAATTGGTTCAAAAACTGGTGGATGACTTCTGGCGTAGATGGCGGCTTGAGTACATCCACTGTCTGCAAACTCGCAGGAAATGGCAGTTTCCAGGGACAACGTTCAAGGTCGGTGATGTGCTTTTAGTCAAGGACGACAGTTCTCATCGAAACATGTGGCCCGTTGGTGTCGTCGATGAAGTATTCCCAAGCAAGGACGAGGTCATTCACAAGGTCAAGGTCACCATTGTTCGTGACGACATTCGTATTTCATATGTCAGACAAATCACAGAACTGATTCATTTACTTGATTGCGAGTGATTTATTTGTTGTGCAGCCTATTGTGCATTATTCTATGCCTATAAGTGTTCAGAAATTTCCAAAGCTTTTATTTTGATATTATGATACATTTATTTGTAACACAGTAGTCAACTGAACTATAATCCTTGTTATAACATTTATACTTTTTGTGTTTTCAACATAACTCAATGTATTTTTTGGATATTTGTATACAGAAGGCATATCTGCCCTTTGAATTATGTATTAGTCTTTATTTAGATAAATGGCAATTTTTTTTGTGAAAATTGGAAGGGGAGTGTGGTGAATACGGAATTGTTTTTTTTTTTTCCGGATTGGTTCGAATTTTATTATAGTTCTTCCGTTGTTCACATGTGCTCAAGATATAGCTGCAGTATTTATTTTTGGTGTATTTTTGACGCACTATGAAGTAAGTATTTAGATAAGCATAATAGGAAGCTTTAATTATCTTCACATTGTCAATTTTTAACCTTGCAATTTATTGTCATGTGTTCTTAAGTCAGTTTATTTCTGCAAGTTTTCGTCTATGCATCAATTTGGCATAAAGTAAAACATAGTATATTTTCGGTTGCTGTCAATTATGTCATATCATCAGCATATTACACAATTTAATATCATTTTATCTGTTGAAAGCATACTGTAGTTATGAATCTTTAGAGTTTAAACCTGTCATTTACTGTTTAAGCATAAAACCCTTCCTTTTCTATTTTCTATATTTGGCATAGTATGAATTATGGATTGGATTATTATGTAATTCACCTTAAAATTATGTAATATTAACTAGTTTCTCTTTGTAACTCTTTGATTGTAATTTTACAGTTTTCACCCTCACTGGAGGAGCAAATAAACAACTTTGTTAAGCAGAACTTTGTTTATGGCACACCCTGAGTGTCGAGTAAATGTCAAAATTTTAAGCCTTTCACTTATATTTGGTGGCGTCTCTATATAAATGAAAATTCTCGAATGGGACGTTAAACAACTTACATTCAATAAATCTCTTGGAAATTATAACATAATCAATTAAATATGGACAAATAACGTAGATAAGGTAAGTATAAACGAATTTCATAATATGTTAGCTTAGTACTAAAACTGTAAGAAATTCTTTTAAAAGATAAACCACTCCAGGCGAATTTTACGGACAAAAAAACAAGATGGAAAAAATTAGAAAAATCAAATAAGCTGATTTTTAACATCTTGCTATTTCTCTTCTGTAAACCTTTACTAGGTGTAATTTGTCCATATGTGTAATTTTATTAAAGTATCAGCTAATATTGGTATTCGCTTATGGAAGAAAGTAGTACATGTTATCGAGTAAATGTAACATAAGTTCACTTTTCGCTCCTTTAGAAATATCTTTACAGAAAATAAAGAGGGTTAATGAATGAAGATTACACAATTTTACCATGATAACGCTAGTTGTGCAGTTTGGGGGGGGGGGGATATTACAGGTATTTGATTCTCAGGGTTAAAAAAAACATTTCTTTTATCAAGTTTTGGAATAGCTAGGTCACTACTAATTATGTACTCATTAATGATTCCGATTGATTATAGTCTTGAAATATGACACCAAATATGTACGTTGGAGGCATCAAAACCATTGGCATCTGGTAATTTATCACATAAGTCATCAAATGAAATTCCTCATCTGGCATTACATTGACACAGTGGTCATTACTTGACTTAGTTATTTCCAATTAAAATAAAGTTTTGAAATCATATATTGCCATATCCTAATCTCTTTTGGATGCTAAAGCTGAACTTGATTCGTAAAAGTAATGTGTCTGCCATTTTTGTTCGCGAGTCTCGCTACCCTGCAGACCCCTATAAATAGGGAAGGACTTTGTCACTGTTCAGTGTCATCAGTCGACACCGGTGAAGACGGACGTATGATATACAGAACTTGATAGCGAGAATAATAACGTAATACCTCGTCTAATGCAGGAAAGAAATATACTAAATAAATTTACAATTATAGTTGTATAAGTCAGTGCAGCATACAAACAACACAGATAAACGTAACTGCAATAACATATATAAAAACAAAGGTAATGCAAAATAACCAGCACGAACACGGGTCGCCATTCCACGCCGCTATCTGTGACAATAAACAAGGTGTAACGAATGCGACGAGTATACCCTAGCATTGGTGCATCGTAGATAATGCTATCGAAAATTGCGTATGCCTATTTATGAGTCGTGTTCAGCTTTAAAGCTGCTAAACACGCCTTGATTTTCTTTGTGAATCAAATTTATCCTATGCCATTTACTGTAATTAAGCCACTTTCTTATTTTCGTGTGATTAATTTTAATGAGGCTCGTTATCGCGAACATTTATAGCCGCGAACCGGTCCTTATTGTCTCTGTGTCCATAGCAACAGATCTAATTCTAAAAAAAGCCTTGTTCGCGAAAATTAATCGTCGCGAGTATGTTACATGTACCCCTGATAAATCTCATAATTGACATTCGTCGCGAATAAAATGTTAACAGTAGGCTTCATGATTCATGGATTAAAAAAAGATCAGTTCAGGAATTGAAAGCAATTCAAACCATTTTTGCATAACATATAGGTGTATGCAACAGTTAATTACAATATTATTTTTAATACTTTGAAACTTTAAAACCAGAGCTTAATCCATATGGGTTTTTAGTCTAGAGTTTAGTAGCGAGCAATAATGAATTTCACATTTTGATGTCGATATTGGCTGACGTTTTTGCCATTCTAATTTTTAGGTCATTATTTTTACGTCGTGGTATGAACATATGTATTCCTCGTGCACGATAATGACAAGGAGAACAAGGTTGTTCTTACTGGTCGGTATCGGGTGCGCACTCAAACGAGAGAACAAAAAAATGTGCTTTTTTTTAAAATTAAGAAACACTTCAGAAAATCAGTAATCCTACCTTGGTCAGAAATATAAAGGTTGTAAGCAGTTTCTCCCCCACATTCTCTGGAATAGATTCCGTCTATGCTATCGCAACTGTAGTTGCAGTGTGAAGGCGAATATTCAAACATAGAGTGAAAATTGACGAGGCCTTTTAAACAGGTGCATCTATTTAACTAACGATAAATTTGAAAATGGTTATTATATCGTTAAAGCATCTTTGGTAATTTAATCAACAGTTTTTAAAGGAGTGGACATGAGATTCTAAATTAAACAAATTGATGACATTCGGGAAACATTGTTTTTAAAAACATGGAACGAGCACTGTAATTGTTGATATTTGCGATTCAAGGGTTGTGATCAACTAGTTGGACTTTGCACAAATCACTGTGCACAGTCTGACATTACTGGTAGGTTGGTTTGGCTTTTTTTTCAAATTTCAACTCTAATTTTTTTTTATTATAGTACTAATACTTTTATTCAATGCAATACAGTTGCGAGGTTTGTAGTATTAAGGATAAAACTTACTTTAATTTTTATGAAAGTGCAAGAATGTGTCAATGAAACGCATCCAAAAATTTGAAATTTGAGGGTTTTTCAAGATATATTAACTTTATGAGTTTTCTCTCTACAAGAAAGGAGAAAAAATAAACCTCAAATATGTGACAAAGTCCATTTAAAAATCTTGGCTCCAATGCATTTAATATAAATATATACCTTAACAGCAAATGTGGATGAATTTTCATTTTTACAGATTTCTTGACAAGCTCCCACAAATTTTCCTTCCATGATTACATCAACCCTCGGATAATGATTTGTGATGTTAGAATCTGGATAACATCCTCAAAGAGATAGAAAATTATATTATTATACAAACTTAAGGTATAATATTATTTTAGTAAATATATAGCATTGAAAAAGCACAGCTCATTCAGAATAAGGGTTCTATTTAAACTTACCAATTATTTTTATCCATTGTGATAATCTGATGTAACGTCCGGTCCAGTATTCTCTGTTATTCATTCCTGTAGTT